GTCTGAAACCAACTCTTAACATCTCCGTCATCTCCCAGCATGTCGCTGCCGTCTCTCAGGGTCTCTGCTATCTCTCATATCTGCGTGGTCAGACGATTCCATCTTCATGGTCTCACTGCTCCTCCTGTGACCCTCAACACAGCAGCCGAATTAACTTTCAAGCGATGATTGCAGAGAGCTCTGGTCCCTGGCAGGATGGAGCAAGCATACTCCACCATGCCCCCTCACTAAAGGCAGGTATAAAACCCAGGAGATGGCATGAGCGACTCTCTGAGGCCTGTCCTAGCAGGAACATGGGGAAGGAGACTACAGTTTGAAGCATCGCCAAACCAGTGGTGAGTTGATCATCTTTTAATTCTATTTCCCCCAGTGTCCCGGCCTAGACTCAGCACAGGCCAGAACTGGAAGTGGACATGGCAAGGGCTGAGGGAGGCTCGGGTGGGGCCCTCTGGTTCTGGTTAAGCAGAAAAGGGGTCTTGGAATGTCTGCAAAGGGTGGGGAATCTTCTGTCTTCTCAGAGAAAGTGAGACTTGCTTCTCCATCCAGCCCGCAGGCGACTCTGTGGGGCAGCAACGGGAGCCCACAGAAGCCCACCTTCGGGAAGCACTTTGCCTTCGACCGTTCGGAGGGTGGCCCTGCGACTTTTCTCTTTCTCTTCTGCCACAGGCCCCAGACACAGGCACAGGTGTGGGAGGTGAATAAAGCCCCAGTCTGAAGGTCTGTTGGAGTATCAGAAGGGGAGCTTCAGGGAGCAGGAATGTGCTGGGAAATTCCAGAGAGGAGTGCATGCAAAACAGCCTGTGAAGTTGTTTGCAAACTCCTTGATTACACTTAGATTAGAGGGCAGAGTAGGCCAGAAACAGTCCCACCCAAGCAGGGCCAACTGATCTTTGACAAAGGAGTCAAAGGAATTTGAAGTAGGAACAATAGGCGTTTCAACAAACAGTGCTGGAGTACTTGCACATCTATATAACAAGAAAACCATAATCTCAACCTTACACCTTAATTTAAAAATAAACCTAAATGGGCCATGGATCTAAATGTAAGACTATGAAACTTTGAGAAGAAAACATGAGAGAAAATCTTAGTAGCTGGGGTTAGGCAGAGTTCTTAGACATGACACCAAAAGCTTGAACCATAAAGAAAAAACTAGATAATTTGGACTTCATAGAAATTCACAAGTTTTGCTCTGTAAAAGACACTCAAGAGAATGAAAAGATGAGATTAAAAACTGGGAAGAAGATATTTGCATATCAAAGAATGTCTATCCAAAATATATACAGAACTCTTAAAACCAATAGTAATTAAATACATAATAATTAACAATCAATTAGTTATTAAATCAATTTAACTTTTTTAAAAAATTTTATTTTAAAGATGTGGGGTACAATTCAGGGTTAAGTATAATGAAGAAATGTTCTTTATGCAGGTGCCCTTGTTGATGAAGTGTGCCCCCACTCAGCAGAATCCCACTACTGACAATCCTTTTCTTACGGTATTACGATAATTGTTCAAGGTCCACTTATGAGTAAGAACATGTGATACTCAGTTCTTTGTTTCTGTGATAGATCACTCAGTATTATATAGAGATGGCAAATAGACACACAAAATTTTGAAATCACCAATCACTAAAAAAGTGCAAATTAATAATACTACAAGGAGCTACTACGACATACTGTGAGAAGGCTAAAACAAAAACACACACTAGGTGGCGAGGGCCAGAGAAGGTGAACCGTTCAGTACTGCCAGTGAAGATGTGAACTGGTGCAATGACTCTGGAAACGGGTAGACAGTTTCTCATGCAGTTAAACATACACTCCCCTACAGCCCAGCACTCCCACTTCTAAGTATTTGCCCTGAGGCAGAGGTCAACAAACTTTTTCTAGAAAGGGTCTGATAGTAAATATTTTAGACTTTGAGGACCACAGTCACTGCACCTGTTCCCCTCTGCCACTGTCCTGCAATGGCAGCCTCAGACAGATGCAAATGAGAGTTTACACTCTCATTTGCAGGTGGTGCGTGGATCTGGTCTGTGGTCTTTTGCCAACTTCAGCCCTAGGAAATAGAAACTTCATTTATATAAATACATAGGTATTTACACCTATTCATAGTCACTAAGCACTGGGAACCATACAAAGCTCTTCAGTGGTGAGTGGAACCCAAACCCTGGCAGAGCCGGCCAATGGGAGGCTAGCATGCAGTGGGAAGGACAGGACCCACAGGCCACGGGGAGCATCTCAAAGGCACTGTGCTGTGTGAAGCTGCCTGTAAGGGAGCTACAACCCCCCCTCCCCCCTCCTTCCCCGCTTGCTTAAGCGACATCTTGTTTCTGCTGCCAACACCTGCATCCTCAAGGCACTCAATTAATGTTTGTCACACGACCACCAGTACCAGCCTGCTTCAAGGCCACATCTAGGGACCATGTGACCACCAACACGTACTTCGTCAGGACTATGTGTACTGTGTGACCACCAGAACAGGCTGCTGGTCCTTCTTCAGGGCTAGCCTTTCTGTCCTTTCTTCTAATAAATTTTCTTTACCTGACCACTCAGCTCGTTCTTTCTCTGCACTTGCCTTGCACTGCCAGTCTCCTGTTTACGAGACTCATTCATTTTCACAAAGATTCAACCACAGTGATGATAACAGCTCAAGGTGGCCAGGACTGGACTGGATGCGGCGGGGGGGGGGCGGGGGGAATGGAATGACACAGGGCTCAGGGCTGCAGGGAGTCCTTGGGGTGATGAACTGCTGTGTATCCCAACCTTGGTGGTTGTTATGTGAATCTATACTGCTGTGAAAATTCATCAGTGAACAAAACAATCAAAACCAGCCGGGCTCGGTGGCTCAGCCTGTCATCCCGCACCTTTGGGAGGCTGAGGTGAGTGGATTGCCTGAGCCCGCGGGTTCAAGACCCGCCTGGGCAGCAAGACCTCGTCTCTACAATAAATCAAAAAAATCAGCCGGGCATGGTAATGCATGCCTGTAATTCCGGCTACTCGGAAGGCTGAGGTGGAAGGATTGCCGGAGCCCAGCAGGTCGAGGCTGTGGTGGCCATAGCGGCCACTGCACTCCAGTCTGGGCGACCGAGTGAGACTCCAACTCAAAAACAAAACAAAACAAAACAATCAAAACCAACCAGAGGAGGCAAGCCCTCCACCCAAATCCAACCTTCAGTCCTCACCTAACCGGTGGCTTCCTGCCTCAAAAACGCAAGGCCTCCAGACCCCTCGCCTCCCACTCCCTGCCTGGGCCTCCTGCTGTCTTCCAACCCAGTCCGACCTGCCTCCCTGCTTGCTCCACTCACCCACACGGTGCCCCCTGGGCCTTGGCTCCCACACTGTCTTCTCAGTAAGCCCTGTCCCCACAGCACTGCCAAGCTCCTCCTCAGCATTGCTCTATGGCACCTGTCCCCATGTCACCTGGTGGACTATATGAGCAGACTCCAAGTGAGCCACAGCTTATCTGGTTCACTGTAGCATCTGCAGCATCTAGAAGTGGCTGGTACACAGTAGGCACTCAATTAATGTTTGTTAAACAAAAACTTTTTTTCAAGTGACAGCAAATTGAAGGGAGGATTTCCATTAGATTAGCTTTGCATATCCTGTGTATGCAGGTCTTACCTGGAAGCAGAAATGCTGAAGCATACTTGGCCAGCTCTGGCCCTCCCCCACAGCCCCACCTGTTCACTCTTCCCCCCACAGCTCCACCCATTCACCCTCCCCCACTCTCCACCTGTTTACCACTCCCCCACTGTCTAACCTGTCCATCCTCCCCCACTCTCCACCTGATCGCCCCTCCCCCACAGCCCCACCTGTTCACCCTCCCCCACTCCCCACCTGTTCATCCCTCCTCCACAGCCCCACCTGTTCATCTACCCACTTT